ACAATAATAAAGTCATCTGATTTCTTAATTAGTAGTTGAAATTGCATTCCTCTTTGTTTGTTTATCTCGGTAAGTTTTACTTGAGTACAGGCAATTAGTTTCAAAATAAAGTGTAGTTATTCATAAGAAAAACCCTGACTTCGTTTTGACAGCAAAATAAAACACAATTTTTTTATTTTAAATAAAAATATTAGCACAGCCAGTGTTAATTATATTTAAAGCTATAATTAGCGTGTCCTTTGTCATAAAACAAAAACCATTCATTATATAAGATAAAAAAAAAGTATATATACATTTTGTCACTACTGATGTCATTTTATTGACAAAAGGATTTTTAAAATGCAAAAGAACGCGACAAAGTCTAAAAACCTATTTACACTTTTGCATTTATAAAATAAACTCATAGTAAACGTTTATAACTTGATGATAATTATTTTTAGACCCATTGATACATTTTGCACGTCAAAAGCATCAATTAACGTCCATTTGTATTTTTTTATATGCATAAAAAAGTAAACGAACCTTTGAGAAAAGTAGAATAAAAGTCAAAAGCTCGTCTAATTTGGCTTTTCATGTGTTGAGGTGTATAATTTCAATCACCGACAAGACTAGAGGATTTATTTGACCCTATTGAACTATTTTTAAACAAATATTTATTTATACGATTTAACATCGGGAACCGCGCAAAACTTTTTTACTTAAATGTTAACATAATATCTACTAGTCGTATTTGATGTTAATTTTATTTCAATTTAAATGGAATTTACATTCGTATGTCATTTGAGATTTTACTTAAACTAAACTAATTGAATTATTAAACTCTATTCTGCATACTACTGCATTTATGTAAAAACTACATTATTGAGCCACAAATAATAATACAATTACTGTCTTGAAGTATCACAATTCGAACAAAATAAATAGTATAATATGTTGAGAGTAAAACGAAGTATGAGTAATTTTAGAGGAAGAACGTGAAACGTGTGCTGTGTGTTAAATAGGTGGTGACTTATAGGATGATTTATGAAACTGTACGTTGAACGTTAGATAAAAGAAAAGATATATCATATCAAGACTGTTATGTGAAGTTTTTAGTTTACATAGAATTACAAATGAGAATTACATAGAAATATAACTTTGGTAAAAGTATATTAGGGAGAAAAAAAAGATGATAAAATAGTAAATGTTGAGAGGTCAGTAAAAAAAAATCATAAGGCTGAGCAATACAATAGTATGACTTCGTCTCTTTATGAAATCTTCCAAGTTTTTTTTTGGTTTTGCCAGAATTAGGTGCTGAAAAACGGCAGTACCAATGTAGGGACAAAAAGTAAGTATGCATTGTATTATATATTATGTAATATTGAACACTAAAGTGCAAATGCCTTTAAATGGACCGTTCCGACTTAGATCTGTACGGTTAGGTTCTGAGGAAGGGAAAATCCGCAAAATAGGTGATACGGGACGTTTGTATAGACGTGACTAGGACACAGATGGTTTCAACGGGAATTTATCCTATTGCCGGGTTTTGTGAAACATCTGTTACACGTGTTCAGACTTCGCACATCGGAGATGACCCAAAGAGAGTGTGTTGTTAGTGAAAAGTAGCTACTAACTTTTCCATCTAGCGTTGTGCGAAAACAATATCATGCAAAATAAACGTAACTTCTCAAATTTATTCAGTAAAAAAGAACTCGTGCATAATGTTCATAAAAAGTGTAAGCCAACAGTTTATTTGTGTCTTAAAGAACTAATACATAATATATCCAAATAAAAATATTTATAAGCATATATATCAAATAATTGGTTCTATTGTAATTGAACAAGTTATTGTAGAATCATTATTTTTTTTTCTCCAAATATTACACTAATCACGATTCGTATTCTAAGACATAATATAAAAGACTAAAAAATAATCTGAAATTGATTCGACAAATTATATTGGGATAATGTTGTATTTATTGTATTTAATTTTAATTTAGCTATTTTTAAATTAGTCAAAGTACACTTGGTCAAAGAGTTCCCTTTAGTGAGGTAGCTTAATAAATTAAATTTCGTACATATCTGTTAAATAACATAAATACAGGCTAACCATCTTACTCTCTTAAGACATCACTAAATAATCGTTACTGACGGACAATTATTTCTTACCAATACAACAATATAACTACATTTGGTAACTTATTGCATAATTGTACTGTAAATAATACTAAAAAATTGTATGTAGATTTTTTATTATGTATTGTTCGAACTGTGGCAATCCCAAGTATAGAAAATTGAAGTGATATATTATTTTTATCCATGTTTTTCAAGAACACTGTCCTTACCCATTTTAATATTGAAGGATTTATAGTACACATTTCCGAAGACGTGAACAAAATAAATAAAATATTGTCTACTTATCTACATAATATTGATACAAAATATAACATATTATATAAATATAAATATTTTACGTTTAAAGAAAACTGTCTTTTTACAAAAATGTAGAAGAATAATTTCTACGACTGGTCCTTGAACAGCTTTCAATTCCTCGTAATGGGTTATTATCGTAGTATTAAGCCAAAGTTTTTAACTAAATCCTTTTAAAACGTTAAGTTTCCTGTTCACGCCTCAATAATTTAGATCATTTTTGACACAGACGATTCTAAGAACAGTGGGCTTTTTTTCATTTTGCAATATTTCGCTCTGTTCAGCACATGCAGAGTTTTATGAAATTACTTGCAGAGTAACGCCATAAATATCTGACATCGACCAAATTTAGTGTCGTTTTCACGGAAAGGCTCCAATTTTATATTTTACTTAATACGCTAGCCTTTCCAAGTCTTGCCAGATCATTTTCAGTTCTTTTTAAAGGTTATTATTTACCTAAGACTCTTTAGTATATCATTTCTCTTATGATACTATCGTTATTAATTAATCATGTATTTCTTTGTTTTTCAATATCCTGTATCGACTTTCTTCCGACAAAAAATTACTTGGATAATATTTAATATTGTATTAAGTTTTGTAATAATGAAAACGGTACTTATCAGTATAAAAGTAACCAGTAGACTTTCTGTAGAAAAAAAAATAGTTTTGTAAAAACTTTAAAATTCAATCTTTAATACTTTGAAAGATGTATAGTTTTTTGTCTCTTTTGAAAATCTTTGAAAATTGAGCTGTCTAATTTTAACAGTTAAAGGTTGAAATGTTGATTTTTAGAATTTTATCGTTACTGTAACTTTAAAACAACGTGTCTAATTAACACTAATCCTCTTAGCTTCGCTTTTGCAATCAAGCAATAAGTCAAAAGTCCAAATATATTTATCTGCCGTCCACTGTGACATTTGTGTAGCACAAAAACATCTGTTGAACGCTATAATCAACGGCAGGTAAATTTATTTAATTTTAATTGAATACTAAACACGTTTTTAGGTGTTCCTGTAGTATATAAAAGGTAATAGCAGTCATAAAACTGCAAATATTTGTATAACTTATGATTATCTTGTTAAGAGGGATTAATGAAAAACTGCTATTGTTGTATAACAAAAATAATTTATTTGAGTGAAATTTGTATTTAACTCACTTAGCTAGTGTGATTCAAATTTCGTATAATACATTTGCTCAAGAAGAATTATTAATATATAATAATTGTTTGTAATTGTCTGTTTAATTATATTATTTTACACCTATTTCTACAAATAATATGTTAACGTGCCAAATGACTCTGCTGTTCATCTTGGCCATAGTGTCCCTTAAAGATATTTAAATATAATCGACTATGTCAAAATGACTTCATTTATGTATGGGCAAATTGTTTCCGCCGTAATAAGATTTATAACGAAACGAATTGATCGAACCGGAGGCGTTTGATATTGAAACATTTTCTACTCGGTTGGGTCAATTGTGAAGGGAGCAATTTCCGCACCGTCATCTTTATGCGTTAGAACCAAAGAACGGAAACTATTATTATCCTTTTTGCTTCTTAACGGTGTAGTATATAGACCCTACCGTCTCTACGTTATTCGACGACTAACCATTACCAGATCAGAAATTAATGGTTTTGAAGTACGTGGATTTTTTTTTAAAAATAACAATAAAACAAACCTGTCATACCTTCACGACGAGCAGTGAATATAGGAAGCGGCTCGCTTAGGTTAATCAAAAATTACAAAAACGCCTTTCAACTTGCATTTTGGATTAAAAAGCGTTTAAGTTTTAATTGAAAAACGGGTACCATGTTCTGTTAAATGCATAGGTATAGGGAAATGTTTTATCACGTTGTGCAGTTTTAAATAATCAGAACATTGAACTCAACTCAAAAACTTGAGATCGCATTGTATAAAAACAATATGAAAAAAACAAATTTAATTTCTTATTAAACCTTATGAGATATTGTGTGGTTCATGATAAAAAAATCACCATGTATAGTTTCGTCTATTAAATATTTTTACAATATAAAGCTCAGTAAAATATTTTTGATGAAAATGTAAAAATAAAACACAACACCAAAAAGATAAATAGTTTTTGGGTTTCGGATTTGTTGGAATCCGAAAATCGGAAAGCAATTTATAGTCAAAGATTTTTTTTCTAAATTTTCATCAAAACAATTTACTTAGGTACACAGCTTTATATTTTAATAATATTTACAAGATTTGTATGTGGCTTAAAAAGGGTCTTTTGAAAAATAATAAAATCCGAATTTTCGGGTTCCCAACACTATATAATATCGATATTGAATTTTCCCTAATCTACATTTTTTTTTTTTTTTTACAAAATCTACAGCTCATACTTATTATCGATTTACGCAATATTCACAACTGACGATGAGACGTGTAGAATTTAACGTTTTGTCTTGAATAATACATGGTATTTAGAAGAAAACAAAAACCATTGAATCGTGGATATCTTTTTAGCGGTACAAATTATTTCCGATCGACTCCCGGGCTAAAAACTTATCCACGTTCAAAAAATAAATAAATAAATAAAATGTTTGTACAACTTGTGTGTTTGCGGTTTAGGTCGCGAGGCCGTGACTGGCAATGCCGTAGCGACGCGGTACCGGAATGACAAACAGCCCTGGGGCCTACCATGCCGCCACCGCCGAAACCAAACGTAACACCGGCCACGCAGCTGCAATTCCTCCTCGCCGCCAGGACGCTTCCTCTCACTACATCATGCCGGCCGACCCGTAAGTTGTACCATTTCGTATGCATCCAACTAAGAAATGTATATCTACCACGTGACCGGTAAAAAAAAACAGTCACTGAAGAAATTACTTAACGCCAGGATCTTGATCAATTCGGTGGACAACAACTCCCCAGGGTATCGTTGGTGAACGTTTTATAGCCGAAATTACCGGGGTTTTCTTTTCTTATTGCCGCACACGAGGAAAAACAAATTTACGACGGTTTCGAGGTAATTAGGTTCCAGACGAATTATTATCCAGTGTTTTTCGCCGGATTCGATATTTTATCTCCTCATCAAACGCGTTTTCGCGCGTAACAGACAAATTCGCGTTGACGTCTAACGGACTGCACGTTTTAATTAATTAGTTTTTATTTCACTAATTCATATCTTCGTACCTAAATTAACTACTGGTATTACACTACTAATGGTACGTCATAAACGAGTATAACGACAGGCCAACTCATTGACTCGTTTATACGGAATAAGATGCATTTGAAGCCAAATTCGATAAGTAGGTACCTATTTAAAATATAAATTGAAACAATCCGTAATAAAAAATAGCCAAGGTAGGTTATGTTCAGTTAGTTCAATGAAAAACAGTAGTGAGGTAGATTTTCAAAAAATTGTCTCAAAATAAGTTCAGACGTGTCAGCGTGATGACACACACAAAGTAAATTATGATATAGAATACAAAATATTATGAAACTCGTAGTTTAATCGATTATTTGATTTGGTCTATTGGTAGTGGAATATATAGTTATTCTTGTCCATATACCATGGACGCGGTCAACAAAAAATTTATAATTTAATACACGATCTAGTATTCTGATCCAGCTGGTATGCATGATAATGTATCAATAATTTTGGAATGCCTAGAATATTTTGAACGCTCATGGTCATTCAATGAGTACTGAACCGCAAAGTATTTTATATACATACAGATCTCGGACTAAAATATTTTCCAGTAGTCTGACATGAGAGTAGAAAAATGTAATTAATTTTAAAACAACTCTTTAGTCATGTTTTACATTTCAGATAACAATTAAATTAATTTTTAAATGCATTTGCCATTTATTTGACTAATTATTTCTGTTGCAATGACATAATATTGAAACAAACTATCAGCTTTTAGAATTTAATAATTATAAACGTACATAGTTTATGCTGATAACTAATATAAAAATATATATTGAGTATTACTATATTAACCTACAGCTTAACTTAAATAGACTTGAATATAGTTGGTGAATTCTAGTCCACAGTTAGTTAGTCAGTTCTATTTAACCGGCATTAATTTCACGGGCTATGTAAACTAGTTAATAAGTACAACTGATATCGCAATACCGATAATTTCTGGTAGATAAAATTGTTAACTAGAAAAATGTCCAAGTATGAAATGAAAATATAATGACGTTTTTCAACATTGCATAACTGATTAAGCACCAAAACACAATAGCACAGTAAAACTCAAATGTACTTCTTATAGTTCTTAATACATACAATTCAGATGTTCTTGGAGAATCATTTTCTTCGCTAGCAAAATGAAACGTGCAAGTTTTCGTACGGATGCATAATCGATGCTCATTAACGAATAGTAATCTTTTATACACATATCGGATTTGTATGGGTAAACTTTTCGCGGGTACTAGCCTTTGTCCTTTTAGTCACAACTATAATACTGCTAGTAATCAGTGTCGTATCTATTATATTACTTGAAGGTATTATAAGTTGTTTTATCACCTCCCTCTTTCCCCTCGACTTTATTTTCCCTTTTTTAGTTTACTATAATATCTTAATACGGACCTGCTAGTTGTAAACTGAAACTTTAACAATGGTTCTGAAGTATGCTGCCCCGTCGCTCAGTGGTCGAAACAAGGAGCCAATAAGCGTTAGGCCGGGGTAACTCTTACTTCTGGTTAATAGTATACAACGCTAATATCCGTAACGTTTTTTTTGTGCTCGACGCAGCATAAGAAGTTTCCCTTTAAAAATAAAGGGAAGCAATAAACCTTTTGGCAAAATGCCCGGCAGCGAATGTTTGCTTATCGGACATTATTTTAAACAATCGCATAATTTTATGTACCACACTTGGGATTTACCGCAGTAGCCATTAGCGCAACTAGAGAGGGCGCAACTAGCAGCCAATCAGGCACAGCCCCCGAAGTAAGGTTTATAGTTTTTACTGAAATTCTGAGGGAGCTTTTAGACTTTTTAAAAGGTCTATAGCTGTGTGTGTAGATGCCGCGGTGCGCTTTTTGCTCTCTCCAAGGGACTTAATGACGTCATTTAAACTGAACGACGGTAGCACGTTTGTGTGCGCTACAATAGGCGGGTAGAGAAAACAACGAGGTCCGTGGACATGGAGCACATCACGCACCGCTTAGCCGGCGACAGATGTCGATAATTTAGTCGTTTTACCAACGGATTTTAACGTGGCTAGCCGACGGGACCGGCCGTGTTGGTATGCAACCGGAGCCCTGCTTAGGTGTCGGCATTTCACAATGAACCGATTTGCATGCGTCCTGTCCTGTGTCCGACGTGCTCCCCTTTAAAACAACGTCACCGAGTACATTAAATCCCGGTCCTGTTGGTCAAACGTGTGTACACTTCGTCCCCGCTTTCCCGACCACAGATAGCCCCCCCCCCCCGGGTGGCGATATTGAGTTCAAAGTAACCCGGCGTCGACGGCGTTACGTGATCGCCACGTTAAACGACCCACGAAAAATAATCGTGTCCGAACCCAAAGCTTTGGCTTGTTCGCCCTCTAACATAATAATAATAATAATATATTATATTATAATGGTAATGTACACACGCGATCACATGCTCGTTGGTTTTATTTATCGACAAGGTCCGACCACGTCATGTTAACCACGCTTACCATACATTGTATATAGCAGTCCCCAAGGCGTATACAATACAAGAGGACATCATCAATATCACCTGCAAGTCCAAAACCTATAGGATATCCTTACATAATGTTTGTATGCAATTGTGCGCTCGTTAAAGTTCTTTTCAAATTCGCACCATTACTTCCGTTTTCGGTCGTTCGATTGTAAGTACGTACTTCTCTGTAAATTTGCCAATGCCGTTTCAAAGACCGGGCAAATAATTCTAACCGTCAACAGTTGATGAATTTTAAATAATGAATAAATTCAAATAAACTCGTATAAAGCGATCAAGTCAGTTTATTTACCTCTCGATTAGCGTTTAAATCAGTCGAACGCGTTTTTACTTTTACCTTTTTAACATAAAAACACGCCGGACAAAAATCCCTTTTTTAAAAATTCACGTGCTATAATAAGGATAGAATTTTATACACATATCTGAACATATTTATCGTAATATAAAATTATGTTGAAAATAATAAAAAGATCAAACCCTCTTTTTGACGAGTTTTATTAATTTCGCATGACTATTTTTTGGTTTTTCTTAAGTTAAAAAAAATGAGAAATATTATTTTTTGAAACTCAAATGATGAAAAACTCATTACAAAAAGACTTAGTATAAGACGTTTTTATTTTATAAAACTTTAAAAAAATATTTTCCATCTCATTTTTGGTAAAGTTGTAAATTGTTTAGTAAATTGGGAAAGCGTGAGGCTTTTTTTGAGAATTTTTTTTACAACGGAGGTTGATGATCAAAATATAAATAAAATAGTTAGAGTATTCTCATTGCTATACATATAAATAAAAATTATACATTTATCTTAAAATATATCATGTTTTATGAAAAATGTATCCCTGAAAGTGGTATGTGTGACGTCCTCTTGAACAGTTATTTCAATACAACCGGTTATAATTGATGATTTTTTTTCTTTTTTTCTTTTTACAGACACAGTTGTTGTGAACCAGCACCGACAGTTCTTTCCGGAGCAGGGATTTGCCTGATCGTATTGGGTTACACTATGTTTGGTGCTTTCACGTTCATGACGTTGGAAAGCGGTCGAGAAAGCGTACAGCAAATCCGACATGGTCAACACCAGCACCAGCACCAGCAGCCGGCACCGCCATCGCCTCAACAACCGCAACAGCAACAGCTGCAACACAATAGAATGGCGACGGTGGCCAACGATAAACTCAGAGCGCAGACGGTGGAAAAACTGTGGAAGATCACCGAGGACCTGAACATACTGTACAGAGACAACTGGACCAGGTTGGCCGAACAGGAAATTCTCAAGTTCCAGGACTCTTTGATAAGAAAATACGGCGGCCCTAACCAATTGGACCGCAGGCACAGGTGGAACTTTGCGTCGTCCTTTTTGTACTCGTTGACTTTGATAACGACAATCGGTAAGCAAATGCATTTAGTACGTTCATGTAAAGATGAAAAATACAATGCAGCTAAACGCATCGTTGCGTTTAAAAATCAATACGGTCAACGACATACTTAGCTTTTTTTTGTTTAATGGAAAAGGATAACCTGTATACTCGAGGAGGACCTGTGCAATTTCGCCCCCCTCTTCCAAAAGTATTTATTATTCAGGTCACGAAAAGGATAATATTCCTCCCCCTTCCCCATTTATCCCCTTCCTCGAGCAAGTCCCTGAATATATGTTATGAACTGTGTACATCGCTGGAGTGGCTGAAAAAAATATGTATAAAACAAAAAAAAAAGATTCTGAAATCATATCAAATTGAGAGAATGGTTTGGCAATAGTATAAAATACATATAACTTTTAGTAGTGTGATAATTGTTTTCTTCTCTGACGTCTTGATTATTTATACTTTTTAATTATTATTTATAAAACCAACTACAATTAAGATAGGAGTGAAGCGTTAATTTAACTTATGTTTAATATTTTCAGTGCAATATACTGACGTTGTGGGTTGGTTTATGGAGTGGAACTTTCAAATTAGTTTGAAATATACACCTGCTGACGGTGCAAACGATTTGTAAAATATAATATTATGCGGGAGGTTTTTTGATGCCCAAGGGAAATAATTGCTGGGAACAATAATATTTTCAACAAATTGCGTCGTTGTTTCGCTGGAATAATAAAACAGGAATACCATTTCCTAGCTACGTTCGAAGACCAATCCGTAACGACTTTTAATCAAAATGCGATTTTAAAATATCAAATAAAACAGCAGCTATACTTAGGAAACGGAAGAAGATGAAAAATAGCATTATGCAATAAACTCATTGTTTTGCATGGAAAAAAAAAGTATGAACTGACCTTTATTTTTTACCTGCTATCCAGACATAGGTTAACCAGTAGGAAAAGGTGTAACTACTGGAAACTTTTTCTCTGAAACACTGTTTATGTTCGACAGAAAAAAGGATCAATATAATATGTCGTCATTTTGTAGTCCAAAGTGGGACTTTTTCGTGGCTGGGTTATCTCTCCCAGTGAGGATTTGCTATGATTTATGACACATATTGGGTCAGTTTTTAGTTACTTTCCATAGGATATTTTTTTGGGGGATTATCCTACACCTGATATTGCATAAACAGACCTTTTTTTACATATTTTGTACATCTAAATAATCTAAAAATTACGGTTAAGAAAACCCGGAATAGATTTATACGGTGTGCTTTTAAGCATTCGGTTCAAAAATATTTTGAATGGTATTCGATCTCCTGTGTGAGTTTTTTCTTAGTAAATCCAAGATTAACATTCTTAGATATTAATAAAATATTATAATCTATAGTGACTTTTTTAATCCGTGGAAAACAGATCATAGAGAAATAAGATGACAATCTTTAATGGAAAATGGTCAGACTCCGGGATGAGTTTTGACGTACAAGTAAACCTATAGGCTACGTGACACCCGTCCAAACAATTTTCTTAGGTTGCGCAATTGCACGACTTAATGTAATTCACAAATCACTTTTAAACCATAAAATGAGACGCACATTGAGTTCTTACTTCTTATTTTGCCTTGACTTGACTGGCTTTTTGTAATGAATATTTCAAAATTGCCTTTCTTACTCACTTCTAAGTATTTTTGTTATTTTTTTCTTTTCTTATAGGGTACGGGAACGTGACGCCACAAACGCCTTGGGGCCGTGTTATAACCATATTGTACGCTTTGGTTGGCATACCTTTGATGTTGCTCTACTTGTCCACCATGGGCGAAACGTTGGCGAAAAACTTTAGGCGCGTCTATTCCAGGATGTGTTCGATGCCGTCCCGGCGGGACGACCGCGAAGACGGCTGCGGGAGTAGCAGCAGCAGCGTTGGAGCCAACATCGGCGGCAAACGTGCGCCGCCCAATACGGTATCGAACAACCACGTAGGCGTCGCAGGAGGAGGCGGTGGCGATTTCGTCGACTATTACCGATACGACTTCGAGACGGTGTCGGGCGCTACCTCGCTGCCGCCCGTTTCGCCGACCTCGGCGGACGTCGGTTACAGTGGAGGCCAAAAACGGGTGCCCGTCCTATTGTCGCTGTCCGTAGTAGGTCTATACGTGGCTCTGGGCGCTTTTATCTACCACAAGCTCGAACGGTGGACGCTGCTGGAAGGGTCGTATTTTTGCTTCACAAGTTTGGGCACCATCGGGTTCGGCGAGCTGGTTCCCGGTAGCGTCGAGGCCACCAAGGACGTGTCCGTGTTCGTGTCGTCCGGTTACATACTAGTGGGTATGGCCGTGGTGGCCATGTGCTTTCAGCTACTACAAGACGAACTGGCGGCCATCGCCCGGAACTGCAGTTGGTGGTGGTGGTGGAGCCGGAAAGAGTACGAGGACGCCGCCAACCAGTCAGTAATGGCGGCCAGCCCGACGCGTAACTCCTGACAAACGGATTTCGGGCCGGCGACGGTTGCGGACAGATCGCCGCCGTCGCCGCCACCCGCTCAAAAGTTACCGCTGCCGCCGCCGGCATTCGACGACCATGACCGGCTTCGGGGGAGCGTCCGGAACGTGGCCGTTCCTCTGCCCCCGCCGCCGTTTCAACGGTCTTCGGCCGGCCGTTGTTCCGTGCAACCCATGAGCCGGACGGTGGCCACCGCGGCTACCACTACCGAGTACTTCATACCGCGCAGCGCTAGCGAACACAACTTGTGTTCTACCATCGAACTAGAGAAGTTGCCGCCACTACCGCCGTCCGCGCTGCGCACAGGTTCGGCGGCACCTCCGCTCAAGCCGCCCTACGTCGTCCGATCGCACCGCGACAAAATGGTCACGTTTGAAGACGAAAATCCAACGTTCAGAGATCACCGTAGTAAGGTGTCCAGCATCAATGATTTGGTCGTGTAAATAATTTCAGTATTACCACAAATTATAACAACTTAATGGATAAACAAGTGCTCATTTTATAATCGTTTCGTTAAGTATATAAGTATTCTGCTAATAGTTTGTACGTTTAAGATAACCCCCAAATGTAAATTAAACGTATGTTCTTGCGTCCACACAAAAAAAATATCAGTTATTATCAATAATAAACAGATGGGTTTGTAAACAGATAAATTATTAATAGGGGTGGCCTGTAGTTCAAAGTGCACAATTCACCTTTTGGTAAAAGTTATGCTGTATCCGATTAACACTATTGAACAATATTTTCCAATAGTAACGGTGTATGCTCTCATATAGGTATACTCGTTATAGGTATATTTATGTACCAATAAATACTCATAATATTGCAGTCATTTTCAAAAGTTTAAAGTATAACATTTTGACATTAACGTGTATAATATCTACAGACGCAAATATTTAATGTGTGTATACTTTACTATTTATTCGAACTGAAATAAACTAAAAACAAGCCAAACCTTAAATATTCGTTAGTTTTTGGTTTAAGTCTAATTTGATTTTTATAAAGATCTCGTTTTAAGTTATTCTAGTATACGCGAGAGTCCCTGGGGGTATTTTATAGCGTTATGGTTTGTTATCACACAAAACAACGCAATAATTATTCTGCACGTGCTTATATAGGTACCTCCCTCCCCTTCTGCTTGTCTTATAATATCATGATTTGCATCATTAAAACCCAAACGAGATTTCGAAAACGAACAACCATCAAATATTCAAAAATATTCAAGCCCGAATTGAAGCTAATGTTTTACAAAGGTCAGCAAATAATTATATTATAGTAACAACGGATATCAGGTCGCCAACACATCCAGTGACGGTCATATTATACAAAAAAATAAACTAGGTTATTTTATTGATTTTGAATTTGCACGGTGAAATGTGAAGACAAAATTATAAAATCGTGTAACACTATTCCGAATTCCATATACAGGGTGATTTTTTTATCGTGAGCCAGTCAATGGGTTAATCTCAATGGGTTTAATTAATAATTTAATTATTTTTTTTATAGTATTTTTAAATAATGTGATCTCAATTTTCCACAAATATCCGCATTACTTTTCTACATCTTCCCTAACTAATTATTTTTATATAATTTTTTGTCACTTAAATGGTAACGCTTACATTTCATTATCGTTTTAAATTGAGAATAATGTACTAAAAATGTTGTCTGGTCAATAACCATTTTTGGATAACTATTTTTGATGTTTTAAGCTTAGGGCAGGAAGAAAGGTGGAGTGAGTATTATATTTTATCTGTGCGCACTTCCCATTCCGTCCTAACTTTTAAACTCTTATAACTTAAAAAATAGTCGTTTAAAACTGGGGATCAACCAGTCAACATTTTTTGTAAAATTTCCTTAATTTAAAAAGTTAATAAAATATATACGTTACCGTTAAAGTTTTAAAAGTTGATATAAAAATAATTGGTTTGGGAGGGGGTTAAAAACATAAACATTTGCGAGATATTATGAGATATTGAGTGGCTCACGATAACAAAATCACCCTGTACAACGACAGAGTACACAAATAATCCATCAATGAACTTGATTGGCCCCCCGCTTGACTGGTATGCCTTATTAATTTTAATTTCGACAACACTTTAGCTCTGGATTCGTGTACCCCGCGAGTATTACCTTTTTCTTTTTTTTTAACGAAGCCGTTTGAGAATTGCTCTTCCGAGGTGACGATGGTCGGACGTGCGGCATATTCGAAATTCTTAGACGTCGCGTAGACTGTACATACACCGAGTTTGAGTAGGGTACACGTCCCTAGCGGATATGATAAGGAGAGAAAAATAATGGATGGATTTCGAATCAAACGACAGCGGCCAGGTCCATTATCTAGTTGCAAGTCCCATCGGAGTGACCACGGCAGAATCATCACGGGAAATCGTGTGAAATAAAAAATGAAATCATCTTACCCGGCTGCCAGTGGAAATCCTCTAGTCGTCCCTAATGTTATTGTGTGTCTGTTGCCGCGAGCGCACCACACCACACAGCCGTAGATACCCAAACCGGAGCGAGCCCCGAGTAGCTTAAATTGTGTTCTTGCTTAAGCCGTTTGACGTTGATTTACATTCGCCGTCTTAAGAGGGCCTTATGAATTATAAATGTGTTTTCGCGTCAACGAATACTTGATAACCCAGCGGATATCCCCCTACGGGCCAACGACGACGCCGGCGAAACGATAAAAACGTTAAAATAATATCTGTCAGCGTCGAGTGCAGCTGAAATCCGCCAATTATCATATCCGCCGTCGCATCCATCAAACACCAAACAGCAAGACTTAAAACTTACAAGGCACCGCGCCAAAAATCCCACGACATTGTTTACGGCCGACACTCTTTTTCTTAATTCGGTCCAATCTCGTCTTGCCAATATTTTAATATGCAAGCGAAAAACGAAAATCATATTCTGCTAATTACACTGTCACCGTCTTGACAACAATGTTATCACTAGTATCCACAAGGCTGGAACGTAGCGAGACCGGCGGTCGACCCAAATTTGATTTTGCCCAACCTAACGGGAACGCTCACTTAAATGTCTTGATTAGACAGAGCCCAATACCGTCGACTATGCCGGATAGCTAAATAATTGAAAATCAACACTTACAGACAATTTTCTCGCCGTCGACCAGCAGTATTTATTCGTCGATATTGAGCTATTTGTCAACCGGCATTGTAAATAAATCCATTAATATCCCTGTCGGCTCTCTCTCTCTTATTGTCTGTCACTTTTCCTTTGTGCTCGGCCCTCTCACATTCGTCTTCGCCTCGGCGACAACCCATCGATTATCAGAATGTAATTTCGCGTTTAAAAAGAGGGGGGAAACAACAACAAGAAACAAATAAATCTTTAAATTCCCTTCAGTCTAGTCGTCACTAATCGTCTACTACTCCGAGCTGTGCTACCTTCCAAGTTTACCGCCCAATCGTTTAGCCAATAGACATTATAATATTTTAACCATCCCTAGAGTAGCGTACAACGATAGGTACGTGCAAGTTCGCACAATCAAATCATACTAGTTTTGATATTTTTTTTAAAACTCAAAACCGTCTAGGTCCAGGACCGCGATATTATGATTTGCTGTTTAAATTACAATATATTACCGCGTCGAGGCGAGCGTTTTAACGCCCCCATATATTATGCCGAAATAATAATACTATTCTAGCTGTCTGTAAGTGCAAATATAATAAATATAGAGCTTCGTCGCAAAACGCTGGCCGCCCCTTTTTAAAAAAAAAAAAGTATATATTAAATTACGCGTGAAAATATGGCACCAACCACAGGATGTAGAACGCCAACATGCAGGCCACTGTTATAAAACAGCCTCCGGTATTTTTTACTTTTTGTGAATAACCGCTATACAAAAAATACCGTCGTCATTGTTAGGCGTTCTGCATTATTCATATTTTTTTTTTTATGTCGTACTCTTCAAATATTATGTGACATCTTCATTAAAAAGAAAAAAAAAATACAACCAAAATTCAGCAATTAAAGTAGGTCAACCGGTCATACACCATATGAACAGTACGGTTTTCAATTCATTTGAAACGCGGTTTGTTAACGTTGTGTAGATTAATATGTGAAAAATATAAATTATTTGGTTTTAACGAAATGCAACTATTGAAAACCAACAACTATAAGATAGGATTATTTTACTTGAACCTTAATTGGATTTTGTTGAATTGAACCGTTACAACGGTTAGTTCGAAACGTCAACAGTTATTATTCTTTGTTTAGCATACAAAGATAAAATATAAAAAGCCGAAGTAAATAAAACCTAAAGCCCATCTATTATTAAAATTCTTATTCTTAAAAGTCAATCTCTAAAAAATATTAAAAGTTGGATAACTTCAATATAATATGTATATAAATAAGTTAATGTGTAAAACGTAATATGCATGTTATGTACACTTTTTTTTACTTTTGTGTAAAATGTACATGTTTACAAACAAACGTGTAATACTCTGTATTTGTAATCAGCTGTCGACCAATAAATAGTTAGCAATATGTTCCTTCGTTCTTGTAAAATTTAAAAACATCTCAAAGCAGACTACATTAAGCTTACGAAATTATAATTCTAGTACTTCAATACATTTTACCTACATTATTTTACTTATTATAACAGTTATGAATTGTAGTTGTAAGTTGTATTTATATATATAATATTACCAGGTGATGTTGTCATTGAGTGGTCAACATAATAAACACTTAATGTCACTTCGAATATAATATCATTGAGTATATATTGACAATATATACTCAATGATAATATTAATTGTATTATAGTATTAACTTGTACGTTTTTCCACATACAACTGTTATCATCATTCTGGCAGAATAAGAACACCGGTTGTCCTTACTTGGTGTTATTATTATTATAATATTTACTATGTAAATTTTAAGCGAAAGTTTTGTTTTTTAATTTTTTTTTTTTTTTGTTTGACCGCAAGTGATAAAACGGTCTTGTATATATATCTGTATTATTACAATATAATAAAAAGTGTTAAACAAATATTTTAGAGTACATTTACGATGTCATCTGTGCAGTGTTATTGTTGCCAAATGTTCACTGAAGAGGAAAAGTAATAAATTTGTAATTTTCGCAATGGGTTTCTACGGTTTTTCTCTATATTTTGCTCTAAAATTAAATAAATGGTTGTTCCAACTAAAATAAATACGACGTTTCTATTTCAGTGTTATTTAATTGTTTATAATTAAAAATAAGTTGTTAATTTCTTTTACGTTAACTCGTCTATTAATGTATATTTTATAAAATTAATTACGTTGTAAAACGAAAATATATAAAATATTATAATATAAAAGATTTCTGTTTAATCAACGTATTATTGATTTGTGACCGTTTCAGGATTATTTTGCAAAGAAAAAAAACTAAAGTAAATAAAGTAGAAAACATCTGGAGAGAAGTATGTGCAACTTAAAAGATAATTAAAGGTCATTTTATAATAGTGCGTGGAACAGTATATCCAAATAAATTATTGCGCACTTAACTCGATGACTTCAAGACTTACTTAGTAAGTATTCGTTTAATACACAATTACCAAAATAAATTACGAATTTTTAATATTTTTGTTATGAAAAATAATACATAAAACTAAGTAAAATCATAAAACTGTATGAATTGTGTAAACTTTGATAATGTGTGCGCTAAAATCACTGTTTTTAAAAATAATTAAATCTTGTAGTATGGTATTAAAATAAAAGAAAACATTTACACCACACCGAACTATATGTGATCTTTCAGGTCGGATTACCTCGACTTCACTATACTAGTTCCAACGGTAAAAAAACTTAAAACATTGTAAAATTTACAACTTTTCAGCTTTTAGTCGAAGTGAATTTGCTTTTATCGTGAAGCTAAATCTACAATTTAACATAAAGTTCCTTCTTTTTCTTACTCGAACTCATTACAACTCATTTCCTAAGAAATTTTGTGTACTTTTTTTGAACAAAAAATTACAAAGACGGTTTCCCCGAAATATGTCACGAGAAAAGAAAAAGTTGCAAAACTCCGATAACGAGAAAAATCATTCCAATTTTATTTTATAATGGACTATGTTTTAAAATTAAATTTCAACATCTTAGTAGGTCAAGCTGTAATTAGTAAAAAAATATGCTACTAAAAATTAACTACATTTTAAGTTTCATCGAATATGATATTCGATAAAACTTTGTTAACGTTTAATTATATATTGCGTTTTGATAATTTATTAAAAAAATAGTTATTCCTTGGAAATTCTACAGTTGAAAAATTAGTAATCAGGTGGTTTTCAAATGATACAACACAAACCAAAATAAAAACTGTAACATCCGATCTTCAAAAAAAAAAAAAAAACATGGGAAGTGCGCTAAGAAAAATAAACCAACTACCTACTAAATCTTAACCGTACATGACAATATGTTTGTTTACTTTTATTGTAGCTATGTTAGCTCATACTATTTCTTTGGTAATAACTATAAAAATATATTTGATTTTGCCAAAGTTGGTTAGGGTGAAAAACGGTCATGTATAAAAATGATATAGTACATACAGCATAAGAGGAAATCGTTAAAGTAACAATATAGGTAGGCATTCTTAGGTTATTTCGCGTATGTGCTTTATAAAACTTTACACATAAACCATATAACGATGGAGCGTGTACATTTTTCAACAAAAAAAAAACCTTATTTCCGAGTGCTTTGGCATCTCAGAGTGAAGAAAAACCACATCTCCCGGTGAACATGTTGAGTTAACAACGTTTCGTGTATGTCTAAATCAAAAACCCTGTACGATGGCGACGTTTAATTTTGTAGTACTCAGCTCGGTTCCGGGATAGTGTGCGATCATCGATTTTTTTTTTTTTTTCATCTCACCAGCAAGCTTTTAGCGGTTTTTCATGTTACCTAACGACATCATAACGCTTTAACATAGACACAACTCGTGCAAACATGGCGTTCATAATAGTCATATCATACCGTCGTTTGTGTAAAGATCTTTTGTCGGATTTGTCCTTAACGGCTATGTTTAAACGAAAGCAGTCGAAACATGCTATCCGAATCGTTATTTTCAAACCCTATACAAAAAATAGCTCACGATGCGCGATAGCCTTACAAAACGAAAAAATATTTAAACCAAAAGGAATTGGAAATTTGTTTGTATTGATTAGGAAAAGCCATACCAGACAATGGTACGTCTAAATAGGATAACTTGTTTTTCCTGTGGACCAAACTACTCGCGTAGCACCTTGTGCGCACTTTTAAGATTTTCTAGCTGAAAATTAGGTCTATTATAGCTCTAACATATATAAAATGATGTGTAAAAAAGCGAATGTAAAATACAATTTTTGTTTTTTAATGGAAAACCCCAAATAGTAAATAAAACACTATAAATGTGGATTTTTTAATACTATTATGGGTTTACATACTTGATATGTAGTGTATGACCTACTATATAATCACAAAATAAGTATGACTTATAAAATGAAAAAAATGAGCAAATTTAGAAATAATAGATAAATTGGTTTTGAACCATTCAAATAACGATATTATACTTTGCAAAATATAACATAAACAATATATTATGCCGATTGTCTCCGTGAGCTAAGCTGTTTGTGGAGACAATAGTTTTTTCTTTTACTTATAAGTATACTTACCTATTTTAAAACAAATTATGTTTAGGTTAATAAATAATAAAGTAGTGCAAATTAGTATTAAATTTAATAATAAATACTAAACATTTTAGTTAGATATTTAATTCATCAATAATAAAGACAGTATCTGTATGCTTCAATGCCAGTTTTCTATTTACGTCGAATAATGAATATTCCGTAACATTTATTTCACTATCTAAAAAGCAAAATAAAAAAATGTTTAGTTGATGGCCAACAATTATCGTAAACTTTTTATTTTATAATTTGTGAAATTACCATCGAATGTAAATGTTTCAACATTCTGGTTTTTACTTGCAGACACTTTTTTGCTTCGTTATTGGAGAGTATACCGTCTTTGTCCTTGTCAAGTTTATTGAATTTAGATATTAATGATCTGACATCTTTTGTACCTAACACCCCATCCTTCCGAAGAATCGTCAGAATGAGATTATGTACTGAGTAACGAATAATTAAAATATAATAGGTAAATAATGCATGACAGCAAAAGAATTTTAAATTGATAAAAAAATTAATTATATTACATTTTCGTTAACTGTCCTAGAACGTTCTGCCGTAACAATTATCAACTCCATCAACTCTTTAGCAGCGAGTCCTGTGCCAGTATCAATTATATATGATATAAGAAATTACAATGTATCTGACGTGAATATAATAATTTTTTATTCTTACGGTTAGAATCAAATAGAATTAAATCTTCATACGACTCAGTAGCCATATGAAACTCTTTAAAGATATTTTGAATTTTAAAAGGATCAATGCTACCGGTTTCAGTTTTAGGCAATACATACAATTTAATAAACTCTTCAATTTGCGCTTGGTTTAGACCATTAGCCTATAATGTAAGCAAAAAAGATATATATACGATAACAGTACAAAAGTATCGACAAATTTTACATTTTAAGCATTTGTATAATTTTTAACGATTTATTAAGTACTATTTTGTAATGATTATTTTGCTTTTGAAACCACATTTTCGCTTTTTTATTCAGAAAAAATGATATGGCTAATTCCAAAAATTACAAATAGTAGGATCCTGATTTTAAAAGACCTATCTGGTTATTCCTATTTATTATATATTTTTTTCGTTTGGTTTCCATATAATGTCCCTAAAGATAACTTTTGTTTTTTTTGCATAAATATTTGCTTACTTCCGGTAGCATTTTGAACATGATCATTAAAAATTCTGGTGCGTTAACTACTTCGACACCTAAAATAAAATAAATAAAGATTGTCAGCTTGAAGTAAACATTTTACTTGACCTAAATATAATATCACCATGTTCATCTATTGATTTTCTGGTTAAATTTTCGGCTCTGGCCTTCTCTTCTCCATTAAGATTTAAGTGGTCAAACACAATTGATAGTTGTTTACAATCAAGGTATGTTGTTCATATAGTTTGTTTAAAAAATTATATAAATTCGTTGACACAGGTGTGATTAGTGCAGTTATTGTACAAGTTAAGGCGGTATCACAGCTATGTCGTCTGTCGTGTCGTGCGATTTAAGAAGTGGGCGTGGCCACTTAAGGTTACTAATGGTAACTATTTAATATTAATTTGGTAATTATCAATCGTGGTTACCTAATCAGTGAATGCCATAGAGTACTCGCGAAATAAATTTAAATTTGATAAAATAATTTCTTATAAATATTCCGTATACGGCCCATCAATGACAAACCGGCATTTAATGCAGATAGTGATAGTAATAAGTATGTTCAAATTGATAATTGATAAAAAATCAATTGACCGTGGTTACCACTTAGCATACTGTAACCACCTATACCACACGATACAAAAGTTAAGCTCAACTCAATTCTAACAATAACCCGGTAAGTCATGGTTACTTAATGATACCGTGATTACAACGGCCAATCAGAAGGCGATATAAGGCACACTACACGACAGATGACGTAGCTGTGAAACCGCCTTTATGTAAAATAATAATTTAAAAAAATGCATAATATAGGTAGGTTAGGTTAGGTGTGTACATGTACTGTTATTGGGCCCCAACCCAGGGTGGATGTGTTAGTTAAGGTTAAATTGTTGTTATATTTATTGTTGACTCTGTAAATACTGCACCTCGCTTTAATACTTTCCTACTGTGCTGGTTTATACTATGCTTGGTTTGGACTTCTTAATTGAAAATAATAATCTTTGTATTATGTATTTTTATAAGTTTTAAGGCGTTTAATATAACATTTTTTTATTAGTCTTTTGTTCTTTATAGATCATAATTATTTTTGCACTTAGCTATAACTCACCGGCCAAAGTTTCCAAATTAGGAGCCATAATATTATTTATTATGCTCCACAGTAAATATCAAGTGTAATAAATAAAATTTTACTTGGAACACAGTGTAGGTATACTATGATACACACGATTGATGTGACGTTACAAAGCTAGTGAACGAGCTCACCAAGTTGTACACTAGTGATGATAATATGGTATGCGACTTATAAAGCCATCTAAAGACTCTGATTCACTTGCGTCCACGACCAAATAATTAAAGAACAGACAAAATAATAACACTCGGATAAACAAATAATAAATCAGAGAAAAAAATCTATATTATCAAAATATCATGATGTGTACACGTTGGTTATTACTTATTATTATATACTGTAATTGAATTAATTTTATAATAATTAAAATAAAATAGTGTTTTATTAAAATATATTGGACTATATCATATTAATTATAATCTGCCAATATCTAACCGATATGAAGACGGTCCAATGCTTGAGCACAATTTTCCGACACATCAACACAATTCGGAGGGTTAAGTTCGTCGATATATTCTGTGAGTGACCGAATGACATCAAAGTTGACATTATCAAAAATCAATTTCAGATGAGCCAAGAAAGCCGTAGCCTTTTCCAAGCTGTAGTATTCAATCCGTATAGGATTCAACGGTACTTGCAGAGATTTCATTTCTTGGTCAGACAGATTCGTGTGTTTCACTGTGAATTCATTTCTGTCCATACCGAACTGATCGATGCGACATCCGAAAGGCTGACATAGCTCCACCAGTATTTCAGTTATATAGCTTACCACACTGTCTATTTGTTGTACCCCGTTGATGAGCCAAGCAAGCTGCTCACATGGTGATCTTTGGACAAGTGTAACATGGCGCCAAATTGTACAACTATATTGTGCCATTCTTGTGCGTAACGCACAAAGTCGTCCCGATCTGATGATTTGCCATCACTATAAGGCCGTAAGTATATTCCATGTGGTTCGATGACAGACGAAGTATGATGATTTTTAAAAAGTCATTGCACGCGTCGTAGTACGATTTGATGAGCACGAGTTTGGTTTGTTTCCAGTCCAGGACACGCACCAAATGCCATGCCGTATTCAGTACTGGGCTAGTGGTGTTCCACTTTATCGCCAAGTTGTACATGTTTTGTAAGTCGTATATGACCTTTGGTTTCTTACCCAGGTTGTTCATCGAAAGCGAATGGGTCTTGACGTTTAAATCGAGCTTCTCCTTGACCACGGCATCACCGATCAATGCGTTCTTTTCCAGCTGAACGTTGGCCTGTTTCACGTATTCCGGTAGTATAGTCATCGTGTACAAAGGGAATTCGAAATGCTGAGCTGATCCTAAGTCCCTTTGATCGAATGAATTGTTCTCAGGACACCCGGCCAGGTCGTCGTCCAGTTTGTCGATGACATAGCTGAGGGTTTCGATAATGTGTGCATAGTCTTTGGCCCGGTTTTGCGTATCCTGGTAAAAGCCAGTTATCAGACTGGTAAACAAATGTAGTGCCCACAAAGCACCAACGCGTATTGCCCCGTTCAAACCGAGCAGCGAAACTGTCTGGGAGCTCACTACCGGGTAGATTTTGCTAATGGGACCGATCAACGATCTCAGTTCTACTTTATGGCGATTCCCCAGTAAAACCTTGACTAATCGTATTTGTGTACAGCCGCTGAATAGGTATCCACATTTCAAATCATTGTAGAGCTGCTGATCGTTTCCATTGGTTTTGTTCGTATACGTGTACCCGGTTTCCAGTGACTGCGCCGGAGTATAAACCAACAATATTATTATCATAGATAAAACAAGTACCATAGCGCACTATTATAAGTCTTTAAAAGTCTGTAAAAGTAAAAACAATTAGATTTGGTTCTCGAGGTGACGAAACGTATACTGACTGACTATATTATTGAAATTACATTGAAAAAAACAACTATTTTTCGCTGTAGACCATATTTGCTTAGATCATATTTTTTTCAGCAGTCAAAACCACGTATAATATAATATATGTTTTTTATTTAACTTTGACATTCTACCTACACCTACAGCGATAATATTCTACACAACATTCAAGGCTGCATCAGAATATTTCATATATTGTATTTTGTCGTAGCATGAAATTCAAACATTATTATAACGCGTTGAAATTGTAATAATAAACTTCAATATTACTGTGTTAAATGATCAGTGTAAGTTTTTAGGGTTCACATAAATATCAAATATAATGTTTACGTTTAAACTGCCTTTTTAAAATTCAAACCAGTATTCTTACAATTGTATTGATTTGTAAAGAAATAATAACAAAAATAAAAAACCCTGGACTTTGTCGGTTTAGTGATAGCTGGGCTGTATTATATATAAACTACCTTGTAAAAGTATATAACTATTATTCTTGGAAATATATTTTTAGAAAAATAAGTATCTTACCCATACTGATGCAAAAAAAAACACTGTGCAACAAATAACAGCACTCTTAAAATGCATTATAGTTTAGATAATTGAAATTCAAGGAAGTACGTGTACGTGTGTGAAAAATCGTATTTTCTATAAATCAGCTTCTTGAATTAGAGTACCGCTTATGTGAGAACCGCTTGATGGTTTATTTCCAAAACCAAAAGTAAAATCAAATTTTACCAAGACATTTTTTGTTAATACGAGAAATAATTATTGAATATTAATTACACATAATTAAAAAAAAAAAAAAATAATTGCGTGCGTCCCAAAAGCGGGGGTATATATGCCCTCCCCCGTGGGATCAGCTGTCACTATCGATAATATGGTAACCGACTTCGGTACTTTTATAGTACAATAACATGTTATTGTAGAGTTTTTAATATTTATAAGTACATATTAGCGGATGATGTTCAATGTGTTTCAAAAGGTATTAGAGAAAATACAGCCACCTACAAGATAACTCTAGGTAGCTAATTGAGCTAAATTAAACTTCCGGCTGGATTAATTAATTTTTTACATCTTTACATCATACCTCATATCTAAGTTATTTTTGTTACCCGATGCGTGTTATTTTAATTTTAAGCTATTTAGTTAAATCTCAGCCTGACGCCGGAATTCGAGGTTATGGCTATTTAGAATTATTAACATTTGGTTTTTGTGGCAGTTTACCATTTCAAATCAAATATTTTTTACGCCATAATGAGAAATGTGGCAGTTTTGATTTTCTTGTTGAAATAATTTATTGCTACAGCCCAAAATGTGGTAGTTCATTATTTTTTTACGGGTGTCATCCGGTTCAGAACTATTGTTATGTTAAAAATTAAAACGCCTCAAATCGAAATGAGGCAAGCTTGATTTATTATGCTTAACTGTAGGTATCTAAAAATGTGGCAGTATTATATTTTTTTAACCGCAAAATTAAAGAAATTCAATACAGTCACAAATGTATTATAGCGAGGCGTTGGTTGGGTTACGACTTGTGGTGGTAGACCATTTTATAGATCAAAAATATAGCAATAAATCTGTATCCCTAACTAAAAAAACATACATTTTGAATTGTACCAAAATTAAACCCAGCCGACCATGTTCAATTGCCCAATCCGCCTTCGCCCAAATGATACCACTGTATTATATTAGTTATCATTAATTTATGTTATAATTAAATATATTAATGTAGCGAGTGTGGACGTATAAGAGGATTGGTAAATAAAATTTAACCAGTACGACGTTAATAAGGATAGTTTAATCTCTAAGACTCTTTGAAAAACTATTATTCGAAGAGTCAATCGGATTCGTCACCATTCACCAAGCACACAGATATATTATATTCTTGTAAAAATCGGCACAGCAATGTTCTGCGTTAGTACCATTATACAATAAATTGCCATAAATATTTTTTGGAGATTACCAAATTATATATGAAAAGTTCAACGATATGGAACCATAATGGCTATTTTGAAAACAGTTTGTTTGTGCTTTTCCATAATTTCGGAATGTTTTACTTATTCCCTTTCCTTTTTTATCTATTAAATTACAATAAAGAAAATTTTGAAACGATTTACTGTTACAACTTTTATTAAGTCACATAAAGAAAAATGTAGGTACTAAATTTCACAATTTTCCCATTAAATATATTTTGTAGCGTCGAGCTACCGAAGACGAATATTTTTTTATTTGTATAGGTTTCGTCAGCCATCGCAGCTGTATCGCAAAAAAACAAGTCAAAAGTTTAGTTTAATAACAGCTGTCAACAAATGCCACCGATTGTTCGAATGATGAAAATTTCACTATTTTCCACAATTATTGTATCAATTATTATTATTGTTTCTCTAAGTAATTACTAGATTAATTGATTAATATCAAAATATCGATTGTTCTAAATATTCTTTATTTTAAAAAATAATCAAGTGTTTATATTACCTTTAAAAATTCGACGTTCATGGGACTTTTTAGACCACTAGGAAAAGTACTATGCGTTTTTAGTCGTTATTTTGCTGTATTAGTTTCCTTTGACTACTTTCTGCACATCGATGAACTATGAGAAAACTAAATAATAAAGCGTTGTAAAACAAATATCTTATATTCATACACGTGTATCTTCAAATCTATACTAAAAGCTATTATTCTAATATTTTCGCTAAATCAAAATACATTGAACAAATTAGTTGATTCGTTAACGCTGTGTCAAGAATGTTATTGATAATAAGCTATAGATAGATAGACAGGTTTATTTATTTTCATTTTAAAAGACAAATAAAATAATATTTCAATGTTTAGACCTTAGAGCCAAGAGATTTTTATATTTTTTTTTACTAAAAAGTATACATATTTTAAAACAAATTATCATAAGTTATCATACAAATAAAGTAATACATTTAATATATTTATATATTAGTAACAATTAAAATTATATATTTAATTTATTCATAACGAAATCAATATCTAAATTCCTTTCCATTTTTCTATAAAAGCAGAACATCAAGTATTCCGCCACGTTTATTTCTATACCTAAAAAGCAAAATTTCAAATTTTTAGGCGATGGCCAACAATTATCGTTATCTCGTTAATAATGTATAATTAGGGGATATGGCATATGGGCATCCGTGGTATAATAAGCACCACTCTTACTCACGCCACAAAGTCTAATCGCGAAGAATAGCGCATGCGCCCTTCTTATCAGTGTGTTTTCTGTATGTTTAATGTTAATGTTATTTATAAGTTTTACTATTAGTGTTACAAATCTTGTTTTTTATGACCATTTTGTCCTAAAGACTGAGCATAATTTATAGGCAGTTGTTATCTATTTTGTTAAATGTTATGGTTTGCTATAAAACTGATATCTTTTTGTTATGTGTACTGATTATTCAATAAATACAGATAAAAATTTACCATCGAAACTAGATGTTGACTCATTCGGGTAAAAAACTTCCAGGAACGTTTTCGCTTCATTACTGGAGAGTAAACCGTCTTGGTCTGTGTCAAATTTTGTGTATACAGATATCAATAATCTGACCTCATTTATACTTAACGCCTTATCCTTCTCAAAAATCGTCAAAGTGAGATTATGTACATCGTAACAAATAATTAAATAATAAGGAAGTAAAGCATGACAGCGAAGAAATATTAAATTGATAAAAAATAAATTGTATTACATTTTCGTTAACTGTCCTAGACCGCACTGCTGTGACTAGCATCAACTCCATCAACTCTATAGCAACGGGTCCTGCGCAAGTTTTAATTATACGTTTTTAAAATTTTAAATGAGACATGTGTGTAATATGAATATATTTATATTTTGTTCTTACGGTAAAATTCAAATAGCATTAAATCTTCGTACGCCTTATCAACCATATGAAAATCTTTAAAGATATTTTGAATTTTTAAACGATCAAAACTGCCAGATTGAGTTTCATGCAATCTATACGAATTAATAAACTCTTTTATTTGTGATTTGTTTAGACCATTGCCCTATAATGTGTGCAAAAAGGACAAATATTAGATAGTTGTGGAAAAAATGTTGACAATTTGATTTTAGAATTTGTATAATTTAAGAATTACAAATGGTAGATGTTTTTTTTTTTTTAAATTCTGATTTTTAAATTCCTATTTGGGTTGTCCTATTTATTATTCTAGGATTTCTAGTTTTTTCTTCTATTCGGTTTCCATATGATATCCCTAAAGAAAATATTTTCATTACACAAATATTTGCTTACTTCCGGTAAAATTTTGAACATGATCAACAAGAACTCCGGTGCGTTAATTGGATCATCACCTAAAATTAAGTAAACGAAGATTTTTAACTTTAAGTAAATCGCTTTCTCGACCTAATTTTTATAACACAATTTTTACCTATAATTTCATTAGCTACATTTTCGGCTTTTATCTTCTCTTCTACATTAAGACATAAGTGATCAAATACAACTGATAGTTGATAACGAGTAAGGTGCCCAGGTTGTTTTGAATTTTCGACGTTTCTAGTGAACATTTTGAGGTATAAGTCTGTTTCCAAAGGCGTCAGCATTTTATGCTACGTACAATATTAAACATGAGTATTTTGCAATAATGTTTTTACAAAATTTTGAGATTTGTTAATAGTTGATTAAATACGTTTTAATATTAAACTAGTTATTTTAGAATAAATACCTCAAAGTTGTGAGATGTTCCTTTATACGCCAACGCCAAAAATAAGTTGTTCAATTGTATATAATCGAGCTTTTCTATATAAATTAAATAAAATGCAATCAGTTTTTAATAATGAACAAAACAAGGTTTGTTTTGAACAAAGCTTGACAAGTTAATCTATATTAAATTAATTTTTATATTTCATTGAATAAAATGATTTATGCTTAACATATGTTATTATTTAGGCCATTTAAGTAGGTAATTAATCGATTAATGACTTAGCATCTTTATTTTTCAATCGAATTTATTTGTATTTTAAAAATGTTACCCTATCTTCTACACTATATTTAATCAATAATTTTCAACCGAATTGATAGTTTAAAAAACATGAGAAAGGTAGATTACAATGTATTAAAAAGTTAGTAATTTTAGAACTTGATCGATTAAGTAAGTTGTTAAAATTATATAAAATTATAAATATTATCTATTGAGATAATAATATATAATTAACCAACAAAAAACCTATTAAAGCAAAAATGCAACGTGAATTGTATATAGGTGTAATGAATAAAATAGCTATTCCAATAATATTATGTACCTGGATTATTTTCAAAAACATTTTCTGGACTTTGAATTCCACATTCGGTCGCCAATAGGTTTGTTATTTCCTGTATACATAGTGGATTTTCGCGATTGTTGTATAATTGAATACATGTTCTTAATTGACTCTCATCTAGTCCAGTGCTCTAAAATAAATAATAATAACTTAAAGTTTAACTTTTTGAAAAAACGTTCATGTCTAATATTATGAACATATTAAATACCTATTTAACTTTTTTAATATTTTCCAAGCGGATCAACTTTTGTAACTTAAGTGGGTACGTGTATATTTAACTAACTTATTAAAATAAGAACATTTTTCTTTAATTAAGTAATTAGGGCACATAAAACTAACACTTTACTCGACCCTTAATAAGTAATTATTTAAAACTGGTTACCGACCAATTTACATTTATAGAAAATTTTTGTTAAACTCAAAAGTTAATAAAATATTTACGTTACCATTTAAAGACCTTAAGGCCATTAGGTTTAAACGGACGAGTGATAGGGTTTATTATCTAATCCACTATAATTATGTTAGGATATATTTTATAGAAAAAAGTATCTTACCCATACTGATGTAAAGAAATACACCACGCAGAGAATTACAATACTCTTAAAATGCATAATAGTTTAGATAATTTAATTTAAATGAAGTACGCGTAGAATATAACGACTTTTGTCACCGAAGTCAAAATAACGAACTAACATTAAAATATAAATACATTTGTTGTGTCTTTTGCAGTTTTATTTATTGACTTAAGCTATACTTTGTGTGACAACATTTAATAAAACGTGTGTATTTGCGCAAAGGATGTACATTCGCTACTAAGGTGGCAGAGTACTTGCTAGATATCATACACAATGGTATATTATATGTCTTTGTATTATTATTGTTTTTCTTCTGTTTTTCGATTATTATAATATTTTATTTATACTCAAATAGTAGCTAGAGCAGTATGTTGGGAGCAAATTGTACATTTTATGAAATTGATCAAATTGTTTTTAACTCAATTTTAAATCGTGCTTCGAAATCTAACTGATCAGCTAAATCTATATAAATACAGGGTGTCCCATAATAATTCGACAAATGAAATGGAAAAAAAAATTGTTTTAATTAATTTGTACTTATTTGCTTATTTACACCACGTTTTTTATTGCACTTCACTATTTTACTATTTTACTTTTTTAAATTATTTTTTTATTTGTTTTGTTACATTTTTAAAATAATTCAAGATAACCATTGCGCGCAGATAAAAATAGCTCTACGCGCTTACTTTATCGCACTCCAGCTCCTATCCTACCCATTAACCTTTAGTAACTTAAAAAGTAATTATCCAAATCTGGTTATTGACCAGTACAAATTTTCAGCAAATTATTCTTAACAAAATAACTATCTTAATTTTAAAATAAAAAATAATTAAAAAAAGTAAAATAGTAAAATGCAATAAAAAACGTGGTTCTTATAGCACAATAATGAGCATAAATTAATTTAAAAAAAAAATCTTAAAAATATTTACTAGAACAAATGTTATTCATTTGTCGTATCATTGTGGGACACCCTGTAAATAAATATATATATATATATATATATATATATATACATTTGTTTCTAACTGGTATAGCAACTAAAATATAGTTGGCACGTGATCAAATACAAAGTAATGTACTATTTAATAAGATAAAACAATTGACGATTCCCTAGCTAAAATTCTATAATAAAAATCCAGTACAGTGAGATCGGAGCATAGTAGGGATGTAGAGGTCACAAGCTTACAGGAACCAATATAACTAAAAGTGATTCATGTAGTTCCATTTTAAATCTATCTCGGTCTAATTTTTAGACCTAAATCCCTAAAACTTGGCTTGAGAAAGTAAAGTATAGAAAAATGTCTATCTCTTCTAGGGGCAAAGGTTTATACTTTATGATATTTTGTTTTCGATTTTGATGGGAAGGGGTGACTGTTTTATAACAGTGTGCGTCTTATATAGCAGCTACAGCTGCTGAGCAATCTATAGCAAAATTTAGATAGGACCCTGCTACTTTGAATGAATTTCGGAATGACCCCCAGCCCAATAACAAATACATGTTAAAAGTATACATATTTTAAAACAAATTATATTAAAGTTATAATACAAATATTGTAATAAATTTAATATATTCAATATTGATAAGAATTAAATTTATTTTTTTAATATATTCATAATGAAATCAATATCTAAATCCATTGGTAATTTTTTATATAAGTTGAACAATAAGACTTCCGCCACGTTTATTTCTATATCTAAAAAGCAAAATACAAATGTTTAGGTAATGGACAACAATCATCGTTAACTCGTTAATGTACTATGTATAATTGGTGAAATTACCGTTAAAATTAAATGTTAAAAATTTTCGGAAAAAACGTTCCAGGAACATTTTTGCTTCGTTATTGGAGAGTAAACCGTCGCCATCACCGTCAAGTTGTATGAATCCAATTATCAATGATTTGACCTCATTTGTACTTAACTCCATAAACTTCTAAAGAGTCGTCAAAGTGAAATTTTGAACAGCGTAACGAATAATTAAATAATAGGGAAGTCTAAATTAGAAGAATAAATTTTATTACATTTTCGTCTTAGAATAGCCTTAGAACGTTCTGCCGTAACGATCATCAACTCTATAGCAGCGGATTCTGTGCAAGTGTTAATTATAATGTGTCATATAAGAAATTACAATGTATCTAACGTGAATATATTTTATTCTTACGATTAGATTCAAATAGCATTAACTCTTGATACGAATCAATAACCATATGAAACTCTTTGAAGATGCTTTGAATTTTTAAAGGATCAATGCTACCGGTATCAGTCTTATGATGTTTATACAATGTAACGAACTCTTCAATTTGTGATTTGTTTAGACCATTGCCCTAATAATGTATGCAAAAAGGATAAATATAAGATAGCTGTAAAAAAGTGTCGATTTTTATCCAGAAATATTGATATTAAGGTAAATTTTCAAAAATTACAAATAGTAGAATCTTGTGTACTTTTTTTTTTGAAAATCCTGATTTTAAAAGATCTATCCGGGTATTCTTATTTCTTATATTTATGATTTTTCGTCCGTTCTTCTATACGGTTTCCATATGATGACCCCAGTGACACTATTTTTATGCACAAATATTCGCTTACTTCTGGTATATATTTGAACATGATCAACAAGAACTCCGGAACGTTAATTACACTGCCACCTAAAATTAAGTAAATGGAGATTTTCAACTTGAATTGAACCGCTTTCTCGACCTAAATTTTATATCACCATTTTTACGTATAATTTCATTAGCTACATTTTCGGCCATTCTCTTCACTTCTACATTAAGATTTGTGATCAAATACAACTGATAGTTGATAACGAGTAAGGTTGATAAAAGTCTACTTCAAAAGCCGTCAGCATTTGAACCTAAGTACAATATTAAACATGAGTATTTCGCAATAATGTTTTTACAATATTTTGAGATTTGTTAATAGTTGGTTAAATACGTTTTAATATTAAACTAGTTATTTTAGAATAAATACCTCAAAGTTGTGAGGTATTCCTTTATACGCAAACACCAAAAATAACTTGTCAAATTGTATATAATCGAGCTCCTCTATAAATATTAAATAATATGCAACTTTTATGATTTATATATTACATTCAATTAAAAGAACTAGGAAGTACGTTTAACGTATTTAAGTATTAAGATCGAATAAGTAGTTACTTAATTGAATCAAGTACTTATGAATGTTTACTTTCTAACTAGGTTTAATTATATTTTAAACAAATAGACCTATCTTCTACATTTTATTTCATCAATTATTTTTAACCAAATTGATAGCTTAAAAAAACATAACAATTTAATAAGAACTTGATCGGTTATGTATGTTCTTAAATTAAAACTATGTAATATGATAAATATTATCAATTGAGTTAAATATAGTATATAGCTAACCAAACGTAAACCTATTAAAGCAAAAACACAACGTGAAATGTATATAAATGTGATAATTAGGATATTCATTTAAATTATATGTTACCTGCTTTGTATTTAAAAACATTTTCAGGTTTTTTAATAACAAATTCTATCTTCAATATGTATGGGATTTCATTTATACAGTATGAATTTTCACAATTTTTGTATAATTCAATACATATATTTGTTCCTCATTTAGTCCAATACTCTTAAATAAAGTATAATGACTAATAGTCGAACACTTAGTACTGAGTGATCCATTTAACATCAGAACATTATTTTCATGGAAAACGATTACAGTTTTATAGTTTTAATTTTTGAAAAAAACGTTTGTCTCTAATATTTCAAAATTATAAAATATTTAACTTTTTTTAATATTTTCGAAAACGAATCAACTTCGGTAACTTAAGTGGGTAAGTATATATTTAACTAACTTAATAAAACAAGAATATTTTGCTCTGGTTGAGTAACTCGTGCTCATAAAAATATTATTTTATAGAAATAAGTATCTTACCCATACTGGTGTAAAGAAATACACCACGCAGATAAAAACAACACTCTTAAAATGCATAATGGTTTAGATAATTAAAATTCAATGAAGTACGTGTAGAACATAACATAACCTGGCACTAAAGTCAAAATAACGAATTAACAGTACATCTGTCGCGTCTTCAATAGTTTTATATATTGACTTAAGCTAAAATTTGTGAGTGAAAAAATTTAATAAACCTTAAATGTTTGCGCACATGATGTACATTTGCTGCTAAGGTGGGAGAGTACTCGCTAGACTTTATACACATTACTATATTATTTTTTTTTGTATGATTGTATTTTTTTTTTCGTTTTTCGGGTACTGTAATATTTTATTTAATCACAATTAGTAGCTAAAGCAGATTTCTGATCTCTAAAGTTGCTAACTCTAACTTTCAGACCCAAATCCCTAAAATCTACCTTGAAAAAGAAAAAATGTCCCCTATTTAGGGGAAAGGGTTTATGATATTTTTTTGGGTTGTCAAAGTTTAACGTTAGTATAGTATTTAAAAAATATTCCATTCAAATTTGAAAGTATTTCGACTAATTAAAAAAATTATGGATCATCGTTATTTTACGTTGAAAAATTTGTTGTGTATACTAGTGTCCCACGATCTTTAACGTTTTAAAATATAACAAATTTAGTTAAAATTATTTTTAAAAACGGCTGTACTTAGTACTTACTATTAATAAATGAACACGTATGCAATACATGCAAATACTAAAAAAAAAGGCAACCTCCTTAAATGCATTTATCCAAACCGAATATCTTACAAGAAACATTTAATAGTATTTAAACGTTAAAATTTACAAAATGGTGGTTTCACTACATTACACTAACCTCATATTATGTTGGCTTATCAACGAACCACAACATTAGGTTTTAATTTTTAAATAATTAAATAAAAAACAAAGAATATTTCCACCACATTAATTAAATTTGTCATTTGTTAAAGTTCATAAAGAATTATAACTTACTTTAAAAAAAAAAATTAATTAGGTTAGATAATTAAGAATTTCGTAATCTATACTTATGACTGTGAAAGTAATTTATAAGTATAATAAGCAAAATACCAAAAATGACTTGTTAATAGTTTGACTTGTCAAATTATCTTTTTAGCATCGATAAGATAACTAAGCAAAATTATGATTTAATTGTGAAATATGTAAATATAGTGTTTGTTCATCTTCTTGCGTAGCTGAAAAAGTATTGTTTTTACTCGATCGGTTTTTTATTTATTTAAGCTCTTTTTTTAATCCAGTAAATCCAGTGAGTTTTTTAGGTAACAAGTCTATAGACCAGAAATCCGACCGGGAAAGAATTTAATTAGGCCAAAAAAAGTTTATCCCTTCCCCTTTCCAATCGAGAAAAATCAACCAAAATATTACATATTTTTAAATTTAAAAAAATTAAATTTTATGAAATATTCTTTACGTAGGACACAATAGATAAACTGTGACAATATATGCATATATTTGGCACACGAGTCAACATTTTTAAAAGTGAGTGTAAAATGACATACAACGCAAATAAAAACGTTATTAAAAATCTGCTGTTTTGACAGAAGTATATTTTTTTATAAATACTATTTCAGTAAATCAAAAAGAAAACTTTTAACAACCATATATTTTAGCTGTAACTGATTTCATTTTTTTTTTTTACAACACTATTTGAATCCCTGGCATCAATTCAAAAATACAATATTCCCATAACATTATACAATCGTCATAATTACTGTTAGCAAATAGTTTCAAAACAGTTTTTACTTGTAGAACTAATAATTAAATATTCTGAATCTGAGTTTAAGAAAAAATAACATGTAATTGAAAAATATCATACTGTTTTCCTGCGTGACCTTATACTTTTTGCAATGCCAGGGTGAAGACCCAACTCCTCAACAATATGTAAGTATAACGTGCATTTATGATTTATGATTGATAAATAATGCTATGATTATTGCTTAACTATACAAAAAACGTAATGTACACTGCTTAGAAAATGTATTTAATGTTCTTAAAATCACCATTTTCGCTTCAAAGAGTTTTTTAAGTATTTTTTTTTTTTACTTACAAACAGTTCTTAAAAACAATAAGAAAAAATATCTTAACTAATTTAAAATTAATGTTATTATACTGAAAAAATCCGCAAGGCATATTATATGTAGGTATGTTTGGTAGTTTGGCGTTTTCATTTTGCTAAAGATGGCTTAGGTTTATGTCTTAATTATAATATACCTATTACCTACATTAAAAAGTTTAATTCTTATTCTGCAAATTATAGAGGTTAATTAAACACATAGTCGCGTCAAATGTGGGGCAAGATGGCAAGATAACATATAATAATTTAATAACTGTAATAAACAAAGTAGCAGGTGGACTCGACAAACCCCCCTTGGAGATCTCCAGAGTGGATGAATTGAAAATAAGTAATATACATTAGAAAAATATTCAATAAATATGTTGAGCAAAATTATCAAAAACAATTGATAAAAATTTTTAACTATTAAGTTTGTCATTTATATAGCTGTAAATTAATTTTATTTTTAAACAAAGAAATTGTAACTCGTTAACCAAATAACAATTTTAAAAAACGAGGGACCTTTTTTTGATGATACTCAAAAAAAAATAGAAAATAAGATATATATGATTAGTTTTTTTTAAAAAAATAAATAAATTTGTCATAAAACATATAATTTAATATGAGGTCATTATTCTTAAATTACAATTAACTTAAAATACAAATATCTAACACGATATCATTCTCAATTCTTTTGTAGTTGAATTCGCCTAATTTGTTTACCTAAAAAGTTAATAATACTTTTTTCAGATTTTGTATATACAATGGACGACGTTGAAATCTACGCCCTAGCGTTTGCTGTTTCAACAGATCCGGAAAAAACGGTTAATAATAACTAAATTACAGATAAAAGGCTCGTTAGGTTGTCTGGTATTTTGTCGTTTTGATTTCACTAAAAAAGGCTCAGTTTTATTATGTAAATTATAATATACATTTTAAAGTTTAATTCTTATTTTTGAAACTATAGAAGTTGATTAAAGATATAGTCATGGCAAATGTGGGGCTAGCTGGCATAAACCTAAATAAATTAAAATCTGTACTCTCCGAAGTACCAAACGAACCGGATTATCAAAAAAGTTCCCCAGGATTGATGTATTGAAAAGAGCAGCATCAAGTAATAAACAATAAAAAATTATGTTGAGTTATATAATTTTTAAACTAAGAAGTCGTAACTTATGAACGTGATAAAAAGTCGAGTAAACGGGGGCCATTTTTTAGATTATGTACAAAAAAAAATTAGAAAAATGTGAGATACATGAACAGTTAAACAAAAAAAAAATTACTAACATTGTACAATTTAATATTACATTATTATTCTAAGATAACAATTTTTTTTAAATAAATATTTGAAGGTATTTTTCTATTGTAACACATTGCTATTCTCACCTCATTAGTCCTGATTGGTTTGTTTAAAAAATATATAATATTTCGTACTTTCAGACCGTATATTTACAGAGGACGAAGTTGGATCCTACGCCCTAGCGTTTGTAGCTTCAGAAAATCCAAAAATAACGGTAAATAAAAACTATAATACTATATTACAGATAAAAGGCTCGTCAAATGGTTTGTGTGGAGATATTTAAAGTATTCAAATATGTAAAATATATTATTTTTAACTATAACAAGTAAAAGTATTATGATAATTACAAATTCTCAGTTTATACAGTTATATACAATACATTTTAATTATAGTTTAGTAAATAATTTTTTTTTTTGTTTTACAGTTCTCAATTTCGCATCGAAGGATTTTTTAAAAAGATTTTTTTATTTTTAGTTATTTTTCCATATTTTTTATTTTTCCGGATCTCGAATGATATTGTTTTTCTCTTAAACCAAAAAATATATACATACTTCCCAACAGCAAAAACATACGATTTTTATAGTAAATAGTATAGTAAATAATAAATAGAAGAACCATTTCCAACGATTTCTTCGAGTTTTTGACACAGGAAGGGAGAATTTAAATAAAATAATACATTTCCCCCTCATTTTTTTCCTAATATGAAAAAAAGTACGTTAACTACTATGAAATTTATGTTTTTATGCAGAAAAAAACCTCAAGGCATATTTTATGTATTGTTGTTAGCAATTTTTATTTTGCTAAAGAAGAATCAGTTTTATTTGTAAATTGTAATACACTATTTAATATATAATTATTACTCTATAGAAAATCTAATGGCGTGGACTATGAAGAACTCAAAGAAGTAGTAGAAGGAGTAATGCTGGAAATGGATATAACCAAACCATTCCCCAGTTATGATGAATTCAAAGCGGATTATGTCCGCTTGTATCCACGTAATAGAACAATAGAATAATATTTAACAATTGTGTTGAGTAAAGTGTACAATATTACTATTGCAAAGACATTTTAATAGTGAATTTTGTAATTTATATAGCTGTAAATTTATTTATTTATTTAAACTAAAAAATTATAACTCGTAAACAAAAAAAAATTAAAATTAAAAACGAGGGACCTTTTTTTGTTGATGTACTAAAACAAAAATTGGCAAAATGAGAGATACATGATCATTTTTTTTTAACTATACATTTTTCTAATATTGTATAGTTATAACTACATTATTATTCTAAAATTACAATTATTTGGAATAAAGATGTTTTTCTTGTATAACACATTGTTACTCTCAACTCATTTGGCTTGATTAGTTTGTTTAAAAAATGTATAATATTTTGTTCTTTTTAGACGCCAAGTTAACTGTGGATGAAGTTGAAACCATAGTCGTTGATAATTTATTTTC